TATGTCTATAAATACATAACATAGATATAGATAGAGAGAGAGAGAAATGAAATACTAGAGATAAAATGTTATTAACACACTAATGATGAAAGTCACATATTTATAGATATATTCAAATTGATATATAAAGACATCCACAATGCTTAAGAGAAGGGAAAAAAACAGCTTTGTAAAGTATTACTATGTACAGACACACATTTTGCTTCTTGTCACATACATAAAAGTGTGTGCATTAAATCTTTTTGAAGCATATACTCAACTAAGTAAACAGTCTTTGAGTGATGGAATTTGAGTGAATGTTAATTTCCTTCTTCATGTACCTGTATCTTCCAATTTCTTTTTACAATGATTATGAATGTCAGAAACAATTATGAATCCATTATCAAAGTTTCTATTGCTTTAAGATTTTCTGAAGTCTGGTATTTATTGACTGCCTGGTTACCTCTGCCCGACACCAGGCACATGAGTCCAAGATGGCCCAAGCAAAGTTGGCATATCATGTGACATTCAGCCTCTGTCACTTCCTCCTCACTGATACTCACCAACCACCTGTATCCCACAATGGTAATAAATCTATACAACATGAATGGTAGAAAAACGGTTGTCATTTTCTAGAATTATTCCTTATCCTTCCCCTGTTTTAAATGTTAACAGTAGCTCACAGACCTTTTTCAAAGCCTTCATGTAGGTAGCAGCTTTTTTCTTGTACTGCAACATGCATTCAGCTGAAAGAGGACTAATGAATCCACTCGCTGCCTTAGGCCCATAGCTCAGTGAAGCCATGAAGTAGTCCACATTGTTGTTGAAGAAAGATGCAATCTAAATGAAGTATGAAAAGAAGATATATTTGGTGCTCCAATAATATATCTGAATACACATCTAATATCTTTCCGAGAAAAGTTTAAGGACATGGAAAATAGAAATGAAATTTCAACACCTACACAAAAGCTCACATTTATTTATTTGAGGCGAATATCTAGGCAATGATTTATAATAAAAAGATGACACCAATATAAATACAGAGACCAGACTTCTAACATGTCCGACTCTAGACAATTTCTATTCTGCCTAAAGTAAAGGCCCAGACAGATTCTGATTTATCTTGTAAGTGACATTCATGAGTTATTTGCCTCAGTAATTTCTACCACTGCTTTCAGAACCATCCATTTGGGTTTCTACATACCATCTGTATTTTGACTTTTATAAAATAGTATTCAAAATGTCCAGCAGAACACCTGGCCCAAGCATCCTGAATATGAAATCTCTCCTCATTTCGTCTGTAATTCTCAATTAATCACAAATATAAAAGAAAAAAGACTAGAAATTCAGTAAATCCTTGTCATTTGCACACTTGACATTTGTTAAAGTAGCCACAGAAGACCCATGACTGCAATATTGCTGAGGTACAGTTTTAAACCTATGGTGCTACATTAAATGGTGATAAGAATGAAAAAGTCTGAGAAGGTTCTTTGCCAGATAAAAGAAAGCTTTAGATACATTAAAGAGTATTCTATTCTTACAAATAAAAAAATAAAATGACAAGTGAAACAGTGTTCTGCCTCAGCAAAAATTGCTCAAAAGTTAAGTAAAAGTCACAAAAGCTCAGAAAGGTTAAATTTTTCAGTTTTTTTTTTTTGACAAATGAAATTATGTTATGTGGTGTGGTATGTTATGTAGTAGCTGTTCCATGGGAGAAAGAGGAAAGATGAAAGATGAGGCTTCCTGCTCCTATAAAGAGTTACATCCTCGGAAATCTGATACAGAGTCATTATGAGTCAGAACCGACTTGATGGCACATAACAACAGTATGGGTAAAGGACCTAGTTTTACCCCAAAACTAGGTGGCCTTTGTCCTTGGCTCCAGAGAAATAACCTTTGGAGTACTAATAGGGTACCTTGGTCTGGGGCTTCGGGGCCACACAGGATTTGTGCTGACTACTGTGAACTCGTCAGACCAGAAAAGACTCACCAGGGAGGCATCAGGAGGCATGATTTATTCTATCATGCAAGACTGCCTGATAAAAGCCGGAAGCACAAGGATATAGAGAGCTTCCTGGCCAAGAATATCTGCTTGGGGAAAGTACTTGGGACATGGAAGCTCTGTAGGATAAACACTGGACTGCTATCTATGAGGTCGGTCATTTGAGCCTTACAGCTGCTCTGTAGGAGGAAGACGAGGCTTTGTGCTCCTGCAAGATCTACAGCCTCAGAAGCACTATACAAGGTCACCATGAGTCAGAAATGACTCAACGAAGCTTAATGACAATAACAAGAAGTTTGTGGAGTTGTAGGCTCAGCAATGGAAAGCAAATCACAAGGTCAACAGTTCAAACCCACCAGAGCTGCTCCTCGGACAAGGCCACTATGAGTCGGAACTGACTTGACAGCCCTTAACAACAACATGGTATATCTACACTCACTTCTACACTCATTGCTGTTAAGTGATTCCAAGTCACAGTGATCCAGAAGGGCAAAGTAGAACTGTTTCGTAGTGTTTCCAAGGATGCTGGCGATGCTGCAGGATAAACTCTGGACTGCTAACCACAGTTAGTGCAAATCCACCAGCTGCTCTCTTGGGAAAAAGGAGCCCTGTAGAGGGTCACTGTGAGCGAAACTGACTTGACAATATCTAACAAGAACAACGATATTCTTTACAGAAACAGACGGCCACATCTTTCTCCTGCAGAACAGCTGGTGGGTTCGAACCGCTGACTTTTTACTCCCATCCCTGGTGAGTTAGCAGTTGATTGCTTAGCCTAAGTTATCAGGGTTCCTATGTATGAACACATAACCCACCAAAAACCAAGCCCACTGCCATCCAGTCAATTCCAACTCATAATAACCCTACATAGAGTTTCCGTGATTGTAACTCTTTATAGGAACAGACAGCTTCATCTTTCTCCCATGGAGTGGCTGGTGGGTTTGAATTACCAACCTTGCAGCTATCAACTCAATGCCTAACCCACAGCACCACCAGGGCTCCTCATGGTATTTATAATCCCTGCGAAATCTGTGAGCTGTCTCAGCAAATGATCAAATACAAAGGGGCAGTAGGAGCCAGCAGGTCAGAAAGTAAGGGTGCCGTGTGAACTTCCAAGTTTGCAGCAGGCATTCTATATGGATAATGCAAACCAGTTCTAAATCTGTAGGCAGCAGGTCAGAAGGTTGGAGTGTTATGGGGACTCACCAGGCTTTAGGCTGGTCTCTACCTATTTGGCAGTCTGAAGGACAATATCCTTTTGACTTGTGAGCTCTGCCCTAACTTTGGGTGGCTAGGGTCATAGAGAGATGGCCGTGGGGCAGCCTGCAACAAGGATGGAGAAGTGAGAAAGTGAGGACTACATCAATCCAATCCACATTTTGGAGACTGGATTCATGCTCCTTACCGTGCAGGTAGTATTCAAGAAAACGAGGATTCCAAACATTTGAGCTATATGTTCCTTAAGAATGACACAGGTAACCACATACTCAGGATTTACTCTTTGGTCAGGATAGTATGGTGAAGTTTATTTTCTTTCCTCTGATATTGCTACATTTTCCAAATTCTCTTTAATATATAAATGCTACACCTTCTCTCTGGGAATTATAAATTAATAAATTGAGTTTAATCAAATTGTATTCTCTAAGTATTAAAATGTGATTAACGTTTGTTCAGATACTTATTTTAGTGAAAAACTATTTATAAAAATTCCAAAGGGAAGGTAAGTTACCTGTACTTAAGACAACATTTTAAGGTTTCAGGCAAACCAAATATAAGATAAATTATGAAATACGAGGGTGGAAAAATGGAATGAAAAGATAATGTAATTTTCCCATGACCTTTTTGAAGTCTCTTGTATAATTACAGAATTAAATACAGTATCATAGAGTTACTATTCATGGTAGCAAATGCAGACACTCCTACAAAATGCCAATAGTCTCCTTTTCCAGAATTACTTTCAGCTGAATATAACTATAAACGTTAGGGTTATCCTCAGAAAGTTTCTGGCTTGACTGTCGAGGAAAGAGGTAAAAGAGAGGGAGGTGGGGATGTTGCAAGCCTAGGAATCCTATAACCATATATCTGTGAGATGACAGACCTAAAGGCAACATATAATTTTCAATCATGGCCCTATGTTATTACATACTCTTACAAGGACTGGCATGAATTTGGGAAAGAAGATACTGAATACCTAACATGACCTATGATCAATTCTGATTAACTTAACCCATATTGCGGGTTGGGGG